AGGAGGGGGAGGGAGGGACACACATGGATTAGATTGGTTGCCTCCTGTAGGTGCCCTGACTAGGGCTGGGGATCAAACCTACAACCCTGGTACGTGCCCTTGACCAGGAATCAAACCCACAACCCTTTCAGCGTGTGGGCCAGTGTTCCAACCATTGAGCCACACCGGCCACAGCCTGGCTGCCTTTTTTTTATGGAGGCTGACATAAGAGGAGGCTGTCTCCCAAAGCAGCAGGCTCCCTGCTCCTACCCAGGGAGGGCAGGAGCAGGTGTCCTGTCAGGTTGTGAGTGACCTCTGAACTCTTCCAACATCAAGGTCTTGTGACTCAGGTAGCCTTTTGATTGCTTTGGCCAAATGTACTCATTCTTTATGAGGTGAATGAGTGTTCTGAGCTCTGAAGAGTACCCTGCTTGGGCCTATACTGGAGGATTCTGGTGAATGTCATTCAGCTCCATCCTTGGAGCGCTGCTGGGGGGGGAGGGGGGGGCGGCACAGAGCCGAGCAGAGAGCGGGCTCGCCACAGTGCTTGTAGGTTGCTCATCACTACCAGACACCTGCATGGGGAAGCCACTAAACTCGCTTAGATGCTTACAGCAGGCACTCCTTTTATGCTGTTATTTCAGCCTTTTCTCTCCTTTTGGGGGACCCTGACTATGGTCCCCAGCAGCCTGTTGCCAACTATCTGGGTTAACCCTCTGGCTCTGCTGTCACTCTTCAGGACCGTCCGCTCCACCTACATGATAATGTACCTCAGTTCTCTCTGCAGAAAGTGCCTTCCCACCAGTGTCTGATGTCTGCTGCCAGCCCACAGCCACCCTTCCCTACACTGTGAGAAGTAGCCAGGCTTTATTCTAGGAAATCAACACCCCTTTTTCCATCTACAATACCAGGGGCAGTCACATGACCCACATCTGGCCAGATTATTTCCTCCCGTGGCCTCAGGAAATGATTCTGTGATTGACTAGCAACCATATCAGCGGGTAAAATAGTTCTGGGGTACAGAAGACTTATTCTGAAAGAGAAGCTCTTTCCCCCAACACTGCCAGGGGCCACCATGTGGAGGTATGAGGTCCTGAGGCATCATGGGCATCCTAGACCCAGCAAGGATGAATAAAGCCTGAATTGCTCGGTTATGTGAGCTGATTTGTTCCCATTTTTTGCTTAAGTCAGAGTTGTACTTCCTGTCACTTGCAACCAAGAGTCTGAATACCTGATCTAAGTCATAACTGAGAAATTAATTCATTCTAAAATGTTATTGGCATATGTCTTAAACATCACAGGAGCACTTTAACATAAACACCTTGATCTGAACAGAACACATGCCATGACTGGATCTCGGGATCACTGACAGGACTGCAGTGAGATCAAGTTAGGCACAGAGGCTGGCTCAGGATCCCTCTGCAGGACAACTGCTCACTCATCACCATGTAGTCAGTTCTGAGGCTGGCACCTATGGGTACTGGTAACTCTACCTGTCTGGTAAGGCTGCCTCCGAGGTTCATGGTGCCAGAGCCAGACTTGTTGGTTTGCAGCCACAGCATCACCGTGGAGGTCAGCTTGTAATGGGCGGTGCGGCCACTGGATTTCTCCTGGGGGGAGGGGGACACAGAGATCAGAACCTTATGTATAACCCCAAGCTGACGAGAGCCTGAGGTGGCTCCTGAATCCAGGGACATCCTAATGTGCCCCTTCCTAAGACATTACCACAACACTACCTTTCTTATAAAATCCCAAATGGTTTTTAAAGGGACCGAATCACAATCGTGTGTATTCAGTTCTTCTGGGATCTTTATCACCAATGACTACTATAATCCTGATTTATCTTTATCCAAATGGCTCAGGCACTTTTAAGAATTAGCAGGTTTATGTATCACAATACCCCTCCTCTTCAAGGAGCATCTGCCAGAGACTGGGGCAACCCTGCTGGGCGTGGCATCTGCACTGGAGCCCTGGGCCGCCAGCTGCTGGGGAGCTGTACCTGCACCTCCACCACATGGATGGAATCCCAGCAGCCTTTGATCTTCTTTGATCCGTCCCCAGCCTTCTTTATGAGGATCACTCCAGCAAAGCCATGATCCAGATCCCAGAGGTAGACAGATGAGACACCGCCTTCAAAATACCTGCAGGAAACAGGCCCATGTGTCCATTAGATGTTAAGCCCGTCAAATTACAGACCATCAGCCCAGATCCCAGGGGTTGTCTGTCATTCGGCAAAGATTCATCTAAGTGTCTGTCTGGAATTAAGGATCCTCCCTGCAATGGTTCCAGGGTTGATTCTTGCATGTGTTCTGAACAACCACTGGTCAGGGGTGGGGACACAGAATCCTTTAGGGTCACAGAAAGAACACAGCTAAGGAGTCCTCAAGGTGAATCTGAGTCTGAGCTCTGCCAGCTTTGTGGTATTTGGCAAGTTTACCAAACTTCTCCCGGCTTCAGATTCCTCCCAGGTAAGGAGTACAGCAAAGTGTGTGACATGACAGACACACACTGGGATCATTATTACTGAGTCATCATTACTGTCTGATTCTCCTATCTTTTGACATCGCTATTTTACAGGAGAGACAAAGAGAAAAAAATAGAGCAATGAACACTTCCTCACTCACAGCCCTCCAGGGCCTGGGTACACCAGGGCTTCTGTAGTCTTTCAGAGCTACAACCCTCTAGCCAGGAATAAAGGGCTAAGCTTGGGATGCAGCTTCCTCCTCAGGCCTGAGCCAATATGGAAAAATTCCCCATTAAGATCAAATGCACAAAGGAAAGAAAAGGCTAGGCTCCCAAATCCAAGAGACCAAAGGCAACACCTGGGATGGAGTCAGGCTGCTGTGCAGGCCAAGGAACTCAGAAAGCACCGGTGGATGGATCACTGCTCATGCGCAGTGCCTCAAATTCTGCTGAATCTCATCTGGCGGCTAACATGTTCTTTACCAGGGGCCTCTCTGACCTCAATTAACCCCCACTCAATGGTCCAGCGGGTACACTCTGGGACCAGCCAGGACTGCAACCTCAGACGTGAGTGGACCTCAGATGTGAAGAGATCTCAGACATGAACAGCCCTCAGCCGTGAACAGTGAGCAGGTAGCACAGCTGTGGCAAGCATTGGCTCAGGTCAGGCAGGCATGGGTCCCAGCCCCAGCCCCTCCAGTTACCAGCTCTATTCATGTGCTTACCCACCCAACAACTATTTATTAGGGGTTACCAGGTACCAACTGTGTGAACTGGGCCTTAGAACTGCTGAGAGACAGAAATAATATAGGAAAGGAGATACCTAACCAAAGATTACAATTAATTTTAATAACAAAAAAAGTACTGCCCTAGCCAGCCAGTTTGGCTCAATGGTTAGAGCATCGGCCCGTGGACTGAGGGTCCCAGGTTCAATTCCAAAGGGTACCAAGGGCAGGTACCTCTGCTGCAGGTTCAATCTCTGGGCCTGGTTAGCGCACGAGTGGGAGGCAACCAATCGATGTGTCTCTCTCACACTGATGTTTCTCTCCCCACCCTCAACTTCCACTCCTCTGAAAAGCAATGGGAAAAAAATGTCCTCGAATGAGGGGTGAAAAAACAAGTACTACGAGGAAGCACATTTGTGAATTATAGCTCAATAAAGCTGTGAGATAAAATATACATGGTATATGTTAATACTTAGAGACTGTAGATGAGGAAATGAGAACTCTTTGCACTTTCTGTGCAGAGGTCAGTACGTGACATACAGCAGCGTGTGACCAGGGGACAATGGGACCCAGGAAGCAGACCCTCCTCACGGAAGAGGGCCCCCAGCCTGTGAGCTGCGAGGCGGTGGCTCAGCTTTATCCTCCTGCTCTAACCTGCTGCCAGCTGGCTAAGGGTCCTCAGCCAAGGTTGCTGCCCTCGCCCCTCCCCACCAGGATTCCTTAGGCAGACTGATGGCCCACTGCTGCTGCCACCACCACATTCTGTCCCCACGCTGCTCCATCCCCACACCATCCACTGTGATTAAGCTGTCAAAAGAAATTCACAACTCTGCCACTCCCAGCAAGTCCTAGGAGGCAGGTGAGGGCAGGTCTGCTAGGGCTAGGAGATGCCGAAGGAGAGCCTGCCCCGAGCTAAATGTCAGTCAAACAATGAAGGATGGGAAGGGGGTTGGCTCCAGCAAGTGTAGTGCTGTGAGGGGAACAAACAGACACACACATGGGGGCCCAGAGCTCAGTGCCATCCCAGGTGACCTCCAGGAAATCGGCCAATGCTGGACACTCAGGGACCCCACTCAGGAAGGTTCTTTCTCTTATTCCAAATCTCATTTTCAACAACCCCCCCCCCACACACACACACACCCTGGGATGGGAGGAGGAAAGCAGCTAAGTGTTTGGTCTGGGACCAGCCCTGCAGGGAGTGGCACTCGAAGGCTGAACTAGAATGCTCCTGGGACATGTGGAGATGTATCCATCACTTCTAGCTGGAGCCTGAGTGCTCAGGTGAGCTCACAGCAGGGACTCAGCAAGCCTTTCTGGCTCGTTCTCCTGGGTTTTGGTGGCTCCCTCGGTTCAGAGTTCACCAGGAGGCACCCCAACTCTACCAAGGGAGGAGAGGAGCAGCCCACAGCAGACCTGTGAACACCCATCCTTTTGGTGACGGATGGGTTCTCCCACCTGGTTTTCCCTTTCAGTCTGTTTGTAGGGAGAGCAGCCCCACATCAAAAGGGAAAAAACAATGTGAAAAAATTGGCTTTTCCTGTGCTGGCAAAAAGGATGGGCCGATAATTCCTTCTTCCGTTGGCCATCCTGGAATGAAGGCTCGAAGCCCAGTGGGCACTTTCATCCTTCCGCCCCTACAGCGATGGCCCGGATCCTCTGCACCTCCCCAAACCAGAGAGCAGTGTTGTTCTTGTCAAAAGCTCGCGCCCTGTGTACTGGGAGACTGGGGAGAGCGGGTCAGGCCTCGACAGTTCTAGCTGACACCACCTGGTGACCAGTTCAAAAACGCCAGGTGGCCTACAGATGATCCCCCTCGGTCCCATCCCTTAGATTTGTTTTCTTCCAGAAAAATAAAAATGCGGCAAGAATGTTTTATAAGGTGGAACTGGCCGTTTCCAGTCCAATGTCCCTCCCATGGCCCAGCTCCCACGCTGGGCAGCTTCTTCTTGGCTTGCTTAGCTCCCCTGTGGGACACACCAACCAGGCCCAACGTTTCAAAATGCTGGACACAAAGGAGATAAGAATGCAACCTCAATTCTAACCTCCATGTGGGTTACTATTCCCGAAAATTAAAAAAAAAATTACTGCAAGAACATCATAAAAAAAGGAAATTTAAAAATTAGCCCATAGTACCATATATCAACTTATCCCATAAATCTGATTTTTCCAAATTCCCTTCCAGTCTTTGTCCAGATGCACAACTTTTATGTAACTATAAGCCCGGCAATGGTACTGCGTTGAGTTAGGTTTTTCTCACTTGGCACGGAACTATTAGTGCTTCTCTATGGAGCTACATCACCTCCATAATTGTTTTTAATAGCTGGGATAGTATTCCATTGGGCAGTATCCTAATTTATAGTCAATTTGACTTTTAATACAGAAATGACGGCAGCAGAGTCAGAGGCGACACTGTGGATCTCGCTGTGACTGCTCCCTCTTCCCTCATGGAGGTGAGGCAGACATGCTGAAACGCAGCCTCCACAGGTATGGCCCCAACACCACAACAATTCAAGAACAGACTTGCATTCCTCCCACTAGAAGGGATCTCCAGTGACTTGAGTGGCTGTGAGCTGCCAAGTCTCAACCTGAGGTTCCAGGACAAAGGGAGCAGAGGGTCAAGTGATCAGGAAGGGCTGTTTCAGAGTCGCCCAGAAAGACCTGCCTCTCTGACAAGTGCTGTCAGGACTGCTGTGCACAGTCGGTGGTGAGGCGACTGCAAGACACACAGACAGCCCGCCATTACATGGTTTACGGCTTTGCTCTGCGCGTGAAGCATTAATTAAAGAGGGACCTCAACAAGTTTTTGAAAATTTATTCTTACCTACTGTACTTTGATCATAATGACATGAAACAGGAAAAAAAATAATTTTTATGTGGTTCACATTTATGAGTTTTTACATAAAGGCTTTTGTGGGTATTTTAAGAATGTGCTAAAATGTTGTCTGAAACCACATAAAGCCATCTGAGGAGCCGCCCGCCAGAACTAACAGCACACACATGGAAGCACTTTAACTGGCCTTTGTATATTTAATGAGTCAAATAGTATTAATATTGTTTAAATGCTAACATGCTATTTCAATAAGGTGGCTCTACCATCGCCAGCAACTTGCTCTTGGGCCTCGCACGTCAATGTGAATGAATGATCAAATGTGGCCTAGCGATGAGAGCAGACTACAGAGGAATTAACCTGGCCCTGCCCTGGGCTCAGCCCTGGCTCCATCATTTCAAAACCCCAGCTCTCCAGGAGGGAGGGAGGCAGGCTCAGCTGATAGGCTCAAGAGGGAAGGCCCTCTTAATGCAGTGAGGTCTCTGGTCAAGCTCTAGGCAGCTCAGAGAACATCTTTAAAATGTGGAGGCCTGCTCGGCCAGTGTGGCTCAGCGGCTGAGCATCCACCTATGATCCAGGTGACCACTATTCGGTTCCCAGTCAGGGCACATGCCCGGGTTTCGGCTCAATCCCTAGCTGGGGCCGTGCAGAAGGTAGCCGATCAATGACTCTGCCGATCAGTGACTCCCTCTCCCTCTCCCTCTCCCTTTCTCTCTCTGAAATCAATAAAGACATATTTTTTAAGAAAACCACACACACAAAAGAAACAAACCAAAAAAAAGTATAGGCTCAAACCAGAAAGCACAGACTTTTCTCAGGCCCGAAATCCATACACTCGGTGAACAGGGTGAGTCACCTATTAACTGGACAACATAGAGACAATCTTCAGGGATACTGTGGAGAAGCCACCATGGAAAGTCTTGAACCATGAAAGCTCCAGAAGCATCAGGAGTGGAGAGATGACAGATCAACCCAGGAACAACTGGAATAAAACTGTGCTGAGGTCCAGCAGAGAGAGAACTTCAACAGAGTGACACTGGTTCTACACACAGTCTTAGTGGCTTTCCAGGCTTTCCCAGGAAACACTAATATTTCCCAAGGCAAATGGAACTACAGGGAACTTGAC